GGACATCACAGACATCAAATAGACAGCAGTGATGTCACAGGGACAGAAGTGACATCATCAGGGACAATGGTGACATCACAGGGACAGCGGTGACATCCCTGGAGACCAGTGGCATTACAGGGACATGGTGCCACCCCTGGGGATAGCAGTGACATCACTGGGGACCAATGACATCACAGGGCACTGGTGACATGATAGGGACATTGGTGACATCATTCAGGATCAGTGACATCACAGGGACTAGCGACAAAAAAGGACAGCCCTGATGTCACAGGGAAATCAGTGACATCATGGGGACATGGAGCCACCGCTGGGGACAGTGATGACATCACAGAGACAGCAGTGACATCACTGGGGACCAGTGACATCACAGGGGACTGCTGAAAACAAAAGCACAGCCCTGATGTCACAGGGACATTGGTGATATCACAGGGGACTTCAGTGACTTCACAAGGACGGGGTGACATCACAATGACCCCAGTGACATCATCAGGGTCACTGTTGACATCACAGGGGAAAGTGGTGACATCACTGGGGACCAGTGACATCACAGGGGACTGCTGACAACAAAGGGACAGCCGTGATGTCACAGGGACATCACTGGCATCAGTGACAGGACGGGGACACGGTGCCATGGCTCAGCACAGTGGTGACATCACAGAGACAGCAGGACATCACTGGTGACATTGTTGACATCACAAGGGGACAGTGATGACACCACAGAGACACCAGTGACATTATCGGGGACATCTTTGACATCACAGGGGACATTGATGACTTTACAAGGCCAGGAGTAAAATTACAGAGACACCAGTGACATTATCGGTGTCATTGGTGCCATCACAGGGGATAGTGGTGACATCACAGGGACATTGGTGAAATCATTGGGAACCAGTGACATCACAGGGAACTGATGACATCATTGGAGACACAGGGACCAGCCCTGGGGACAGCAGTGACATAACAGGGCACAGTGGTGACACCTATGGGGACAGCAGTGACATCACTGGAGACCAGTGACATCACAGGGGTATTGGTGACATCAAAGGGACAGTGGTGACATCAAAGGGACAGTGGTGACATCATAGGAACAGTGGTGATGTCATTGGGGACATTGGGGACATCAGAGGTTACAGCAGTGACATCACAGGAGACCAGTGACATCACAGGGGTCTGGTGACATCACAGGGACATCAGTGACATCAGGGGGACATGGTGCTACCACTTGGGACAGCGGTGACATCACAGGGGACAGTGGTGACATCACTGGGGATAGAAGGACCACCCCTGGGGACAGCAGTGACATCACAGGGACAGTGGTGACATCCATGGGGACAGCAGCAACATCACTGGAGACCAATGACATCACAACTGTCTGGTGACATCACAGGGACTGCAATGACATCAGTTGGACAGCTGTGACATCACTGGGAACACCAGTGACATCCCAGGGACAGTGGTGACATCACTGGGATGTTGGGGATGTTTGGGGGCCTTTGGGAGGGCACCTGCCTGGGGGGTTTTCATGCGAGCACGGACGACTCAGCACACCAATGTGATGATCAGAGAGCCGTTGATTGGAATCAAGCAGCAGTCTTTGATCCAGTTTTCTAACAATACTCTTCTATCAGCTCTGCTTCTTTAACATTCTTTATGTCCTTTCCCACTCTGAGAGCCGGTACTGAGACCCTGTTTTGTATTTCTAGTTTTGCTACTGTTTCTCTTGGTAGGTCTTTCCCATCCTGGTACCATCAGAAGGCCATCAGAACAACAGATGTTTTCAGAGTTGAAACATAAGATTATATTCTGATAGTAGCATATCCTCTAGTTAGCAATATCAGTCTATGTTCTCACAACTGCAGCATATCCTCTATATTAGCACTAAAAATCCCTACACTTCCCCCTTTTTCTTTAAACAAAGCAGATACAGTTTGAGCCAATAAGCTGTGACAAACATTGAACCAGACATGGCAGAAAAATACACACTCCTGGAAGCAGAAAGACAACGGGTGCCAACCATTGTACAGTTTGGATAAGCTGATTCTGGGGGGGCTTTGGGAGGGCACCTGCCCTTCAACACCAGGACTGCAGAGAACTGGGAAGCTTTACTGGGAGCACTGGGAGCAGCAGGTGGCTGGTGTGAGAACAAAAGCAGGGCCAGGGGGACACACGACCCCCCAAAACTCCGGGTGGGGATGGACTGGGGGGTCCCAGCTGGGTCTGAGGCCACGGGGAGGGGTTGAGGCCGCCGTCGACTCAGGAGCTCTGTGGGGAGAGAAAGGGGGTGACAGCGGCCTAGGGGGGCAGGGGGAGCACACACGGTCTGGGGAAAGGGGGACACGACCCCCGGGGACCCCCCTTTACCTTCTCCCACAGGTAGAAGCCGAGCCCCAGCACCAGGAAGACAAAGCCCAACACGAAGCCCCCGACCCCCACAAGGATCTTGCTGCGGACGGTGTCCTGTGGCATCTCTGGGGAGAGCCGGGTGGGTCAGGACCCCCAAAACCTCCCAGAGACCACTCAGGACCCCCTGAAAACCTTGTCCTGGTCTCCCCCATCCCACCCAGCACCCCCTGAAACCTCTTCCCAGTCCTTTCCCAGCCCCTCGGGGATCCCACAAAGCCCCTTCCATCCCCTTTGAGATCCTGCAACCTCCCTCCCATCATCCCCAGCACCCCCCTGAACCCCTCCCAGTCCCTTCCCAGCCCTCCCAGCACTTCCCCACCCCCTCCCAGTCATCCTAAGCCCCCCCCTCCAACCTCCCTCCCATCCCACCCAGTCTCTCCCACGACTCCCCACAGTCCCTCTCAGCCCTCCCAGGACACCCCAACCTCCTCCTCAGCCTCTCTGTCGCCCCCCAAAGTGCCTCCCAGTGTCCCCAGTGCTTTCCTGGTCCCCCTGCCAGTGTCCCCCTGGTGCTGGGGGGGCCGGGCCGTACCCCAGTGCCGGCTGAGGGGGTGCTCCAGGCTGATGTGCTCCACCTGGCAGGTGTAGGTGAACCCGCGCCGGGGGATTTCCAGCATCACCAGCACCTGGTAGGTCCAGTCCCCGTTGGGGACCACGTCGGTGGCCACCACGTGCTCCGGCAGCTCCTGCCCATCCTGGAACCACCTCACCTGCACCGGTGCAGGGTAGAAATCCATCACGGAGCAGAGCAGGCGGCCGGGGCCGGGCTGGGAGCTCGACGGCACCAGTGAGATGGACACGCTGGGGGGCACTGGGAGAGACGGGGGAGACACTGGGCTGAGCTGGGGGGGCACTGGAAGAGAGAGGGCAGAGGGCTTGTAGGACATGGGTATGGGGTTTGGATGGCACTGGGAGGGACTGGGATGGTACTGGGGGGACTGGGATGGCAGTGGGAGGGACTGGGAATGGACTGGGGTAGAAGGGGATGGGCTGAGGGGGTTACTGCGGAGAGAGTTGGGAGATGTGGGAGTGAACTGAGAACGACTGGGAATGGACTGAGAGGGTCTGGGAGTGGAGTGAGAGGTAATGGGAATGACTGGGAGGGACTGGGAAGGACTGGGATGGACTGGGAAGGGTCCGAGCGGGACTGGGAGGCTGAGTCCTGGAGAAGGAACTCTGCGCTCGGGTCTGCGCGGCAACTGATGAGTCATCAGAGAGACGCGCTCTGATTGGCTGAGGGGAGGGAGAGCGGTGCCCTAGCGAGGCGGAGACGCGGGGGGTGGGGGGGCACTGGGAGAGACTGGGATGGACTGGGGATCACTGGGAGAAACTAGAATGGATAGCAACGGAATAAGGGGCAATAGGAAAAAACTGGGATGGATTCGGGGGCAATAGGAGGGGGCACAAGGCCACGAGGACGGGCACAGGGAGGTCTGAGGGGTCTGGGGGATTCCCAGGGAGGGTTTGAGGGGCTCCAAGGTCGTTCCCGGGCCAGAGGAATTCCCGAGGGGACCTGCTCTGCCCCGCGCTCACCTCTGCGGTTCACAATGAACGGGGTGGACACCTTGTAGTTGTGCCGGCAGACCGTGTCTACCTGAGCCCGTTGGTACTCCAGCCATTCCTGTCGGCTGTTGCAGTGCCAGGCCACCTCCTCCCCAAACGGGGTGTCCCCCACACAGACCCCCACATCGCTGTCGAAGTGGGCGTACTGCTGCCGGTTGTAGAAAAGCCTCCTCACGAACCTCACCCGCTCGGTGCCGTTGATGAAGTGACACTCAGACTTTGCTAGAAACTGGAACACCCCTGTGTGTGCAGGACATGGCTCAGGAGGTACCCCGTCCCCACTCCCCCCATTATCCTCTATCCCCCCACAGCAGGTTGGGAGCTCAGGGGGCCATCCTGGACCCCCTTTCCCACCCCCCTCTGCCCCACGGCCGCCACAGCACCGGCTCTTGGCTTGGGGGGTACCCCCCGATCAGCCTCCCGGGGATGGAGAGGGGGGTTGGGACCCCCCAGTGCGGATCCGACCCCACCCCCAGAGCCCCAGGGAACCGCTGCAGGGCTCCAGTGATGGGGGACACCGAGGGACCCCCATGGAACCCCTCTTCCTGCTCTCCCACCCCCTTTTCTCCCCTTTCCCACCAACCTCCCAATCCCCAGACCACCCCCTGCGCTCACTTTGGGGCTCTCACTCCCCTCCCACTAATTCTGGGGGTTCCAACCCCCCTCTCACTCACTTTTGGGGCTCCCACCCCTTCTTTGCTCTCCTCTTTCCCCCTTCCCGCCCCCCCCGCTCACCCGAGAGCTCCTCGCCCGCAGCCGGGGGGGCTCCCAGCACCACCAGTACCACCAGTACGGCCCCAGTTCCCCGCACACGCTCCATCCCCAGCGCCGGGCAGGGGCTGACACCCCAAAAACAGCCGGGTGGGGCCGTTTTTGGGCTGTTTTGGACGCGTTCTGATTGGCTGAGCGCAAAGTTCGGGCTCGTTTTGCGTCGGGTCTTACCGGCAACTGATGAGTCATCAGCATATCGCGTTCTGATTGGTCAAAAAGGTCGCGTCCGCGCTTTCTGATTGGCTGAGGCCGTTGGGGGCACTACAACCCCCGGGGGTGGGGGGTTCTGGGCGGTCCGTGGGATGCGGGGCAGGTGGGAGCTCAGGGGAACCCACAGATGGGCATCCAGGGGTCCCGCAGCTCTGCTGAACCCAAAAACGGCGATCAGGCTGTTCCGGAGCTCCGGCATGTACCCAAAACCGAGTGGAGGACGTTCTCTGATTGGCTGAGTTCGGTGAGGGTTCAGTTTGAGCCGGGTCTGCCCGGCAACTGATGACGCCTCAGCTGCACTCGCTCCCATTGGCTGGGAAGTTTTCGGGGTGCTGCGCCCCCCGGCCCAGCTCCCCCAGTTCGCCACCGCTTTTCTGGGAGCCACATCGACTCTTCCCGGTATCCCGGTGTCCGGAGGGGCCATGGATGGAGCTCGGAGTATCCCCCTGCTGCCTCTGCTGCTGCTGGGGCTGACCCTGTCCGCGGCTTGGGAGGTCCCAGATTGCTGGGGTTGGGGTTTGGGGTGATCTGGGTACGTAGGAATTCAGTGTTTGGGGGGGCCGAGGGTGAGAAATCTTCGTTGTCCCGGTATTTTGGGTGTCCTGGAGTGACCAAACCTCCCTGTTCCTACAGTTTTGGGGTTCTGGGAGTACTTAAACTTCCCTTTTCCAGGATTTTTTGGGGTTGGGAGTGACCAAACCCCCCTTTTCCGGAGTTTTTGGGAGGGTGGTATTGCCCCAACCCCCCTGTTCCAGGGATTTTGGGGGTCTGGGAGTGTTACAACTCCCCCGTTCCTACAGTTTTGGGGCTCTGGGACTACCTAAACTTCCCTTTTCCATGGTTTTTGGGGGCTGGGAGTGACCAAGCCCTCCTGTTCCCAGGATTTTTGGGCTCTGGATGTGCCCAAACCAGCTTTTTTTTCCCAGGATTTTTAGTGTCTGGGAGTACCCAAACCCCCCTTTTCCAATATTTTGGGGATCTGAGAGTGCCCCAAACCCCTCTTTTCCATGACTTTTTGGACATGGAGCTGCCCAATCCCGGACTGAAACCCCCCCCTTTTCCCGCTATTTCGGGCTGAAACCCCCTCATTTTCCCTGGATTTCTGGCTGAACAACCCCCCCCCCCCTTTTCCCAGGACTTCGGGCTCAACCCCCCCCCAAACCATCTCTTCCCAGTGTCCCACCAGATCATCCAGACAGAAAACTACCAAAAAGCCCTGGATTCGATGGTGGAAGAGGGTGGTGAGTTCATGTTCTACTTCAACGGATGAGATTTTCCACGTGGAGCGGGAGCAGAGGGTCTGGAGGCTCCCGGAATCATAGAATCATAGAATCATAGAATAGTGTCGTGGTTTTGCCCACCAGCCCATCCCTGGGGCTGAGGATGGTTTTGTCCAGGTGATTTCCGGACAAAAAACCAATCAAAAAGTTCAGTGACGCCTTTGCTAATTACATCTTTAAGAAAACGGAAGAGAAGGTTGGTGTCGCAGTTGAAATTAGGAACAGCAGCCATGTAGGAAAGAAGGTAGCGGGCCCGAGGAGGGCCAAGGCCTCCTCCTCCCCGGCTTGGGCCGGGGGGGGCAGGTGAAGTACTGAAGCCTCTCTTCTCTCTTGTGAGAGAGTGAAGAAAAAAAAAAAGTTTAAAAGACGAACTGCTTAGACGAGAAACCGCTGCAGAAGAATTCCAGCCATGAGATAACAGGATTTTAAAGGTCGAAGCTGCAGTCGCAGGAGAGAGAAGAAAAGTTCGAAGGGGGGAGAACTGCTTTTTCTCCTTTTTGCTCTCCCTCCCTTCAGCAGGGTAAAGACTGAAAAATAAAACCCTGCCACCTGTAGAAGTTTGCTGGGGTGAAGAGACCCCCATGCGGCTCACAGAGGAGCTTGTGGATGCACCAGAGATTTGTGACTTTAACAGAGAAAAGCCTTATGCTGGAGTAAGCGGCTCAGATGAGGCAGAGTCCTGTTAAAGACTTTGTGACCCTCGAAGGGATCGATGCTTATGCTGGAGCGAGACGGCTCAGATAAGCTTGGGATCTCAGTGAGAGATCCATGCTGCTGCTGTTGAAGATTTATGACCCTGACAGGTATTAGAACCTGCGCTGGAACACAAAGCGGTTCAGGTAGGGATGTTGGGATCCATGTGTGGGATCCGTGCTGCTGGTGCTAGAGAGAACCTACGCTGGAGCAGAAAATGGCTCAGGTGGGATATTGGGATCCGAGTAAGGGATCCAGACTAGACCCATGCCGAGAAGTCAATCAAGGACTGTTCTCCCATGGGGAGGGACCTCCATAGAGAAACAGGGGTGAACTCTTAAACCATTATCCCCTGTAACCCTGTGGAAGAAGATCCATAGTAAGCAAGTGTCCCCTTGCAAGTCTATGGAAGGAAACCCTTCAGGACCTGGGTAACCCTCAGCCTTCGGTTTTAACCCAGGAGGGGTAGGCCCAGCCCTGGAAGCCAACACAGAATAAAAGAGAGATAAAGAAGTTCCAGCTGCGACGAAAGTGCTGCAGAGTTACTAGAGAGAGAGAGAGAGCTGGAATTCTGAGAACAGAAAAGGACTGCTTCTCCTCCTTGGACTGATATAAAGGGAAGTGGGGGAGAAGTATCTTTTGTAAATACATAGTACCTTTTACTCAAGTAGAATTGTTGTAAATATAATTCTTTAGTTTTAGTTTGTTAATAATAAATACTCATACTTTTTTTCAATTCAGTCTCTTTTTGTCTGCATAAACCTTCTCTCAACTGATAGTAATTGTATGTAGGGGTATAAAAGTAAATTGAGCCAGGGCAAAACCACGACAAATAGATTGGGTTGGAAAAGACCTCCAAGATCATCAAGTCTAACCCCTGATCCAACTCTAATTACTATATCATGGCACTAAGGGCCATGTCCAATCTCTTTTTAAAAACTTCCAGGGATGGTGAATCCACCACCTCTCTGGGCAGGCCGTTCCAATGCCTGATCACCCTCTCTGTAAAGAATTTCTTCCTAACATCTAACCTAAACTTCCCCTGGCAGAGCTTGAGCCCATGTCCCCTTGTCCTGTTGTTGGTTTCCTGGGAGAAGAGACCAACCCCCACCTGGCTATAACTTCCCTTCAGGTAGTTGAAGAGACTGATGAGGTCACCTCTAAGCCTTCTCTTCTCTAGACTAAACAATCCCAGCTCCCTCAGCCTCTCCTCATAGGACTTGTGCTCAAGTCCCTTCACCAACCTCGTTGCTCTTCTCTGGACCCGCTCCAGCACCTCAATGTCCTTCCTGAACTGAGGGGCCCAGAGCTGAACACAATACTCAAGGTGTGGCCTCACCAACGCAGAGTACAGGGGAAGGATCACTTCCCTGCTCCTGCTGGCCACACTGTTCTTGATGCAGACCAGGATCTATTGGCCTTCTTGGCCACCTGGGCACACTCTGTCTCATGTTCAGCCTCCTGTCGATCAGCACCCCCAGGTCCCTTTCCACCTGGCTGCTCTCCAGCCACTCTGTGCCCAGCCTGTAGCGCTGCAGGGGTTGTTGTGGCCAAAGTGCAGGACCCGGCACTTGGCCTTGTTGAACTTCATCCCATTGGAGTCAGCCCCTCTCTCCAGTCTATCCAGGTCCCTCTGCAGAGCCCTCCTGCCTTCTGGTAGGTTGACACTCCCTCCCAACTTGGTGTCATCAGCAAATTTGCTGATGATGGACTCAATCCCCTCATCTAGGTCATCGATAAAGATGTTAAACAGGACTGGGCCCAGCACTGATCCCTGGGGACACCACTGGTGACCGGTCGCCAGCTGGATGCAGCCCCGTTCACCAGCACTCTCTGGGCCCGGCCCTCCAGCCAGTTCTTAACCCAGCACAGAGTGCCCCTGTCCAAGCCATGGGCTGCCAGCTTTTCCAGGAGTATATTATGGGAGACAGTGTCAAAGGCTTTGCTGAAGTCCAGATAGACCACATCCACAGCCTTCCCCTCGTCCACCAGGTGAGTCACCTGATCGTAAAAGGAGATCAGGTTGGTCAAGCAGGATCTGCCTCTCCTAAACCCGTGCTGGCTGGGTCTGATTCCTTGTCCATCTTGTAGGTGCTGTGTGATTGCACACAGGATGATCTGCTCCATAACTCTGCCAGGCACCGAGGTCAGGCTGACAGGCCTGTAGTTACCAGGGTCAGCCTTGCAGCCTTTTTATGGATTGGGGTGATATTTGCCAACTTCCAATCATGTGGGACCTCCCCAGTGAGCCAGGACTGTTGGAAGATAATGGAGAGCGGCTTGGCAAGCTCTTCTGCCAGCTCCCTCATTACCCTAGGATGGATCCCATCTGGTCCCATAGACTTGTGAGGATCCAGGTGGCTCAGTAAGTCACTAACTATTTCCTCCTGGAATACAGGGGGCTATTTGGTTTCCTCTCTCTGTCTACCAGCTCCAGAGGCCAGTTGCCTTGAGGGCCACCTGTCTTACTGGTAAAAACTGAGGCAAAGTAGGTGTTAAGTACCTCAGCCTTCTCCTCATCTCTATTAACTATGTTTCCCTCCGAGTCCATCAAAGAATGGAGGTTTTCTTTGCCCCTCCTTTTGTTATTAATGTATTTATAGAAGGACTTTTTGTTATCCCTAACAGAAGTGGCCAATTTAACTTCAAATTGCGCTTTTGTATCCCTGATTTTCTTTCTGCATGATCTAGCTGTCTTCCTGAATTCTTCGTAAGTAGCCAGCCCTCTCTTCCATAGTCGATAAACTCTCTTTTTATCCTGATTTCCTTCAGAATCTCCTGTTTAACCAGGCTGGTTGTCTTCCCCGCCGGCTTGCCTTTCGGCACACCGGTATGGCCTGTTCCTGTGCACTCAAAACTTCCTGTTTGAAGCACATCC